AACATAAGTTTGGAGCTCCCAAATCACCAAGATTGCATCAAGAAGCATCTAGGAAAGAATCAGAGTACTACCTCCTAGTGCATAAGTGAAAGAGAAGAGTTCGAGTAACCCATGGAAGAGAGAAGGTGAAGTAAGAGAAGATGGAGGAGAAGGGGAGAGAGATGAGGGAGATGGAGATGGAGAAGAAGGGAAGGAAGGGAAAGAGAATGAAAGTAAGGAGGAGGAAGGAGGAGATGAAAAGGGGAGAGAAGAGAAGGAAGAAAGAGAGAGTGAGGAGGAAGAAGAGGAAGAAGAGGAAGAAGAAGGAGGAGAGGGAGAAGGAGAGGAGGAAGAAGATGAAGATGAAGATGATGAAGAAGAAGAAGAAGAAGAAGAAGAGGAAGAAGAAGAAGGGGAAGAAGATGAAGGTGAAGAAGTCTCTTCCTCCCTCTCACCTTGTTGATTCCTTGATGTTGGTGTCCTCTTGATGAAGCTTCTCCTTCTTGCACAATCCCCTCTTGGCTATGGCTTCCTTCTTCTTCAAGTCCTTCTCTCCTTCTCCCTTGCTTTCTCTCAGGCTATGGCAAACCCCCCCAGCTATGGCTATGGAGTCCTCCCCTCTAGGTGGGCTAATGGGTCTCCTCTAGCTTCTCCTTCTCTCCTACACCCAGGAGGGATATGGCGGATCACCTCCCAAGTGTCTCTCCCACCATCACTATCCTCTAGAGTCCTCCCCACTACCTCCTAGTCTCCTCTAAGCTCTCCCACTAGCATGGGCTCCTCCCCTCTCACTCCAAGTGCAAAGGTGCTCTTGTGAGCTCACTTGGGCAGCATGGGCACTCCTCATGCAAAAGTGAGAGCACTCATCATGCAAAAGTGAGAGTGGCGGACTGCATCCTCAGCTTATGTAGGCTAAAACCAGCAGTCCGGCCAGCCCATGAGCCTCCCCACGAGCCTTGAGGTGAACCGAGGTACCCCGAAGGCAAAATTCTCTCACTAGGCCCTCCTGGAGGTACCTAGGCCTCATTTTGGCCAAGTGCGTGCAGTCCAAGTGGTTGGTACCAACTCGGACTGCCTCTTGGCCTACCCCGGCCTCTTTTACATTGCTCAAATGATGCCCCCTAGGGTCCTTATGCCCAAGGGGCAACAATACTTGAAAGAAAAATGCCTTGTGGGCCATTCTCGATTTTTTCAAGTTTCGGCCTCTTTTGAGTAGGCCGGAGCATTTGTCCATATGGCGGCTCATTTTCAGCCTTGGATCTGGCTGAGATCCAAGACCAACAATAATCCGAGCTACCCCTTAGTAACTCTTGCTTCAATTTTGAGCCCCTATGTCCAGTTTTTCAATTTTTGGTGCATCTGGCTCTCTTTTTGGGCCAAATGCACTGTTTTGTCATTTTTCCTCTTTTGTTTTTTTCCATTTTGGGTTGCCACCTCATTCCGGAGCTAACCGTTTTGAGCTGGCCCACAACAAACGGCTAGTTCCTCGCTACCATGAGATCTGAAATCAGATCCATGGCCCAAAAGAAAACCGGTCACTTCCTTTTTGCATTTTCTCTCATTTTCAGTTTTTTAATTCAGATTTAATCCGGATTGTCCTCCCTCATTTTAGGAGGGATGAGGTCACTGTTGGGACCTGCGAGTCCCTACTGTGCAGGTCCGAATAGGCCGGCACACTCTCCTCCACTCTTTTCTCCCTTTTTGTCTCATTCTCCCTCATTTTTCTCTCATTTTTCTTTCTTTTTCTTTTATTTATGAGGAGACAAGTGTCAAACTGCTGTGCACCCTCTTTCTAGACCCTAAGGCCTCATTCAAGGCCAGGTTCATGGTTGTTACATGGCCGTTACATCTCGGATTCCAATAATGGCACCCCCATGCTCCTAGGGAGCTCCATTTTGCTCCCGTTTGCCCTATTTTGAGCCCTTCTGCCTTGATTTTCTAAGGGCAGCCTTTTTCTCATGTTGAGTCTCTCAGGGCTCTATTTTCTTATGCCTTGCTAGTCCGAGATATCCCGGACTGTTGGGCAACCTTCCCAATACCCTTATTTCATTTTTCTTTCTCTCATGGCTCTCTCACTTGCTCCCATTAGTGGTGCTAATATTTTCCACCGTCTAGATCCTCGATCTTGACGGTGCCGCTTGCTTGCACAATTATTCCTTATGTTTGCTCATGGTTCCCTTGGGACATCCCAAGTCCCCGCCATTTTCCTACACGCTAGCTCCATTTCTTTGTCCCGCCGGTGGTCCCGCCGACGCGTGTCCCGTTTTTCGATTTTTATTATTTGGACTCATTTGGTCCCTGGCAACATCCCGGACGGCGTCCCGTTTTTATTTCTTTGAGGCCTATTGCCCTTGGTGGTCCCATTATTTCTTTATGTGTGCCAATTTTTCTAGACCGCGAGATCTCATCTCACGGTTACCGTTTACCGTCTTTACTTGCCCCTTGCCGAAATCGCTCCTTTCTAGCCTTTCTGGGTTTGCCGTAGCCCATTTTCCCTTGGGCTTGGCATCCCCATGCAGTCCGTAATTCTTCGGACTGCAGTCATGGTTGTTTTCCACACCCACAGCCCCACAACTTGCCCCATGTTAAAAGAAAATGAAGCGTTAAATTTTATAGTGCATCCGGGCTTAATATTGGCTCCGGATGCACCTAGAACATGTGTTTTCTCTCCCCCATGCAGTCCGTTGCAACTCAGACTACAATGGGGGTTAATTCCTTAGCCCCAATGCCCCACAACTAGCCCCTACTCAAAAGAAAAAGAAACGGTCAATTCCCAAGTGCATCCGGCCTTGATTTTGGCTCCAGATGCACCTTAAACATGTGTTTCTCCTCATGCATGTATTCCGTTTTATTCCGTTTGCAAAAGGTCTTGATTTTCTTTGATTTTCTCTGCAAAAATCAAAGAAAATCCAAGTCCTTTGTAACCGCCATATTCCAGAATGAATCTGGTCATGGATGAATCTCCCCAAGTGACCTTTTTTTACCGTTAAGGCCTTTTTCCCTTTTCTTTTCTTTTCTTTTCTTTTTCTTTTTTTTTTTTTTTTTTTTTTTTTTTTTTTTTCCTCCTTTTTTGGACAGTAGGGACCTTCCAATCCCTACCTATGGCAATCCGTACTGACGGCCAACTCACTCACTCCCTCTCACTCTTTTTGTCTTATTCTCCCCCATTTTATTTTATTTTCTTTCTTTTTTCTAACATGCCAAGTGTCAAGTGGTCATTAAGGTCCTTTTCTATCCCCTTCCTCTTAGTTTTGACCCTCCCTATGCCCAAGGTGCAGTCCGTTATTTCTCGGACTTCAATAATGACATTCCCATGCCCATGGGAGCCTCCTTTTACTCCTACATTTCTCCCGCAATGGTCCCTCCAACTCCGATTTTCTCCCGGAGGGCTATTTTTCACATGGGTTTTCATTTGACTCTATTTTCTTGAGGGAGGCTGATCCGAGATTTTTCAGATTGCTCCCATGCCTCCCACTTCAGTTTTCTTTACTTTTCCTTTTCCTTTTGACCTTCCCGTTTGTCACCACTAGTACTTGCACTAGTGGTGCTAATATTCTTGGCCGTCAAGATGTCGATCTTGACGGTGCACCTTGCATTTATTATTTTTCCCTCATGCGGTGCCGCCGGTTCTTCTTGGGACATTCACATGTCCCCGCTACATGTCCCGTTGGTGGTCCCCGACACTTCAGTCCCGTCGGTGGTCCCCTACACTTAGTCCCGTCGGCGGTCCCCGATACTTAGTCCCGTCGGCGGTCCCCGACACATTTCGCGCCGGACGCCATTATTTTTACTTAGTCCCACGTGGCCCCGAGTGCCTTTCCCCGAGGTGTCCCATGCCCCTTGGGCGTCTTGTCACCCCATAGCGACCCCTCTCCTTAATCTTTCCTCGTGCCTTGTACGTGCCGATCTCTTTGGTCGTAGACCTCCGCTCCGAGGCTCCCATAGGTGGCCCCCACGTTGGCCCCTCATTTTCTGGTTTCCCGCGGCTTCTGGCCGCCCATCCCTCGACTTCCTTATTCCCTTATTGCTGTCGCGTGGCAATTGCTAGTTCAAAGGGCCCTTTGACCTTAGTCTTATTATATTCTGATGACCCTCCCGGCCTCTGCTATGTCCTATGTGCTCCTGTTCTTGCGCTCGCTCGCTTGCTGTTGCTAGTTCTTCCCTCCTGTGGTTCTCTCCTCAGGGCATCACTCCCTTCTGCGGCCTATTCCTTTGTCTTTTCTCTATCCTGCTTCCTCACTCCAGATTTCTCTGTTGTGCACAAATTGTCCGTATTCAATCTCTCGAGTGATGGGAAGTAATTCGGGACCCACCAGTCCCGACACCGGTCGGCGGCGAACCGACACGCCGGTCGCAGAGCAAAAAATATCTACCAAAAAATAAAAATAAAAAAAAATTACAGGTCTCAAAACATGCCACCAACCACAGGGACCCCGCCCAAACGTGTGATCGTCGGGTGGACCCTACCGGTCCACGACTAGGCCAGAAGTGGAAACGTTACCGTTTCCAAAGACAAAATAACGAAACAACAAATCCGAGGTACCACGGGACACAGGCTCGGCAAAAAACGGCGCGCACTATAATTCAGGGTCGGCAAGAACAGGCTCGTTTGCCTTCTCGGGGCGTGGGCTCGGAATCCGCTCCCGTGTTAAGCCTGCCACTCACCCTTCTCGTGACCGCCGCCTGCGCAGCTCTTGAGGCACCCCTTGCCGATGAACCGACCAGCCGGCCCACCCATGGACGGACCGACAGGATAAACCGACGGGCGGACCGACTGACGTACCGACAGGGTAAGGGCCTCGCCGGACCACTCACCATATGCGAAAAAGACAACGGTATGGCGGGTGTGTCTCTCCATGTTCTAATGGAAGATTCTTTTCCATTTTGCACATTTGGTGAGTCGAGGCCCTAAACGGACGGATCGACGGACCGACTGACCAGACGGACGTCTGCTGGGTCCCCCGTGCCATCACTGTGCTGAGTGTTAAGTTTCACCTGCCCGGCATCTGACACGGGCGTAAGAGTGTGATCCGCATCTCCATCGTGGGGGTAGCCTCCCTTTCGTTGTGTCGCCTTCTCTTCCTACTCCGTCTCCCCAGGCTTCGTCTAGACGTCCGCTATCTGTAGGCCCAACTTCACGAGACTCGGGTACTTACAGCAGGGAGGGGAAAGGGCGGCTCTACAACAGGCGAGACGATTCAATCACGCGCCCGAATCGGTACACAACGGCAAATACGACCCTGCTCTCCTCCGACTCCTCTCGCTGTTCGTCCTCTTACCTCTCTGCTTGCCTCCTGGTCCTTCTCCTCACCTTCGCTCGTGCTTCCACTTCGTCCTCTTTCCTTCGTCTTGTCCCCGTCTTGGATGTTCCGGCTCGTCTCGTCCAGCCAGATCAACAGCATTTGCTCCTCCCTCGTACGGAGGTGATCTCAGGCGAAGCGACGAAAGAAGAGGAAAATGCGAAGTGATTTGGCGGAGATTGGACAGGTTGAATTCACCGTGGAAGGAGCACGAAGAAGCACCACACACCTGCTGTGTTTGTTGCCGGCATCTCAACTATATCCCCTCCGCATTAGCTACTTCAAGGATCTGTTCGATTTTTGAGAAATGTGATGTGATCTGGACTCCTCTTAACTCGATTGCAACTATCGTCGAACCCTGTGTGAATTCCGCTGATGTTCTCCACTCGAATTGCCCGAGTCGCTTGCCACGATCCGGAAGGAAGGAAGGAAGGAAGGAAGAGAAGGCAGGGAGGGATTGGCTTGGTGAAGGGCGAACGGACGGATAGACAGGCTGGCTGGCAGGCAGGCAGAGACAGATAGTTAGGGGAGGGAGGGAGGGAGGGGGGGAGGGAGGGAGGCAATGAGTTTTCTATGCATACCTGCGGCTTGCCGGCAAGGTATACCCGACGACGAGACCTGGACCCGAGAACACTTTCCCGGCTCGTCAACGCTGTACAGAAGCAGCGGGAACGGATTCAGACTGAAGGGTAATAATGGGGGGGTAATTGGCAGCCGGCCACCTCCATCCTGTCCGCCATCTGTCTTACAATCGATCTTGCAAGACCCGGGGTACAACAATGAAAGGTCGAGCATTGAGGGGGGAGGCATTCCCCATAGCCAGAGCAAGAAGAGTGGTGCGAACTCTTGGTCTCCTGCATCGTCTGCCTCATTGGGGGTATCTTCGTCACGATCGCAGCGTGTCAATCCAGCGAACGGTGAGGAGGAGGTGGCGTCCAACGCTGCTGGACATGCGTCGGTTGAGATGGGACCTGCGGCGGCGACGGCAGGAGGAATAGCAATAGCGGCGGTGATGGAGAGAAGTCCGATGAGGAGGAGGGGACGGGTGGGTGAGAGCCGAGTAAGGGGAGGGAGGCCGCCGTCACTGCATCTCTATGTCAGGCAAAACCTGGACATGGCTCCACTAGGTAGCATTGCCGAATCGCCGAGGGATGAAATCGAGTCATCCCTGCGGGTTCCGTCCCTGGAAGACGCCGGATGTCCCCGTTCTTATCGGAGGAGCGAAGACTATGGCGTCAAGCAGGGGGCGAGAGAAGTAGGAAGGGAAGGAGGAGGAGGAGGAGGAGGAGGCGGCGACGGTTACGAATGTGCTGACGAAGGCGCGGCGGAATCCGTTCGTCGCCCGATGAAGATGATGGGGATGACGGTGATGACGATGACGGCCGTAGAGTCGCATCCTTTCGACCGCGAAGATAGGAGTACTACGCTAGCTACTTCAATGGCGGTGGGGATGAATGGTGTGCGGGATGCAGGGATGTGCGGCGGCGACACGACCTCGAGGGGGAGATGGAGGGAGGATGGAGGAAGGGGCAGAATTTGCTCGCCGATCTTGTTGGAGCTGTTCACGGCTTACGGGTGCAGCTCTTGTCCTCGAGCGGAACGGATTCTGTCGAGGCTGGCAGTGTTGTCGTCCTCGGTGGCCTCGATGTCGCAGGAGCTGGCGATTATAGCGTTGGCTTTCCACGTGGATTATTGGGATTACTTGGGTTTGTCCGACCCTTATGCGAGTCGGAAGTGGACGGCAAGGCAGCGAAAATACGCGCAGAAATTGTCGCAGCAGACACAGGGCGTGTACACTCCGCAGCTAATCGCGCAGGGACGCGCGCACTGCGTCGGGTCCAAGCCGGATCTCGTGCGAGAGATCATTCGATCCGCGCCCCGGTTCAGTGCTCCACATATCAAGGTCAGTAGTAGTGACTGCTTCTTCCTTTCTTTTTCTGCAGGAGGGTAAGAGACATAAACGATAGAGACTTAGGAGGGAGTAGTTGAGTTTCAGCGGAGTCTTTCCCTTGACGATTTGCCAAACGCGCACGACCACCAAGCCATTATCGTCGTCATAGTCACCGATCCTTCAGCAGGTTAACCTAAGTACATGTGCACCTATCTAAATCCTAGACGAGTTTCATTCTGTCATGCGCTATTTTTTAATTCTAACTCTTTCCTCCTTCGAAGCTGATGCAAAGCATCATCCATCCCCTCGCTCACCCAGTTACTCTGATTTTGTAGTATTCATTCCAATTCGTTGCTGCCAAGATGACGCAACCAGCTTACCAAAATCGCGTAATGTGACTGATCCTCCCAACTTATCTAAATCGTGTAATTACAGATCTGGAACAGGGCCTGAATTTCCGGGAAAAACCTTCTAGAATTAGTTGTACATTGATTGAACCATACCCCCCCTATTGCGGCTCTTTGGCGCGCGAATTCGTCAGATCGACCGTCTCCTTATTTTTGTCGTCGCGCTTTAGAACAAGGAAAGCGAGCTCTTTGGCCGTGGGGATACTCACACGGGGACTTTTCCTCTTAGCTCTGGATGTGATTAAGGTCAGATGCATCCTGGTGTGGCCGTAATCGCGGGACGTGATTACGGTCAGATGCATCCAGGTGTGGCCGTAATTGCAGTCAAATACGTTTAGGAAAGTGTTAGTGTGAGCCGGCCCTGAGACTTCCGAGTTTCAGTCGTTAGCGAGGATGTCGACAACGTTCGATCAGCGCGTACGGACGGTTGCCTGCCGCACATTTAGATAATACAAATTAACAAAATGATGAACTGACTACTAATGAACCACAACAAAACTAAGTTGTTGTTTACTACGGTATTAAGTCAAGAGTCTAACTAACCAACGACCAACGAAGTTGCTCGCTCAATGTACGAACCTAGTATTTACTGACGAAGAAGTCCATAGAAGTATATTTGTTAATTGGTGGCTTTTGACATTTTTTTGTCTGTTCATTCACGTGGCTTCTTTGTTGATAAAATTCTTTAGTGCTCGGGGCGGGTGACGTAGAAAGGGAACACAATGAAGAACGGCTATTGTACTCCTTGCCATATCGCGATTCAGAAACCTATGCGTGTGTGGCGGGAGGGAATTATTTTGTTGTTGCACCTGTTTGAGAGTCAAGAAGGATCCCTCTTTCATTATGGCTTCTTCTCCCTCTCTGCCTACTGTTCGCCGAGCAGTAGACATAATGAAAGAGGGATCCTTCTCTCCTCTCTCTCTCTCTCTCTCCACAAGAAAAAGATAGGTGAGAAAGGAGATTTTGACAAGAAACAGGGGGCTGTGACAGACTGCTTTGTTGGAGTTTCGCGAACTCATCAGGAGGATGAACCCTCTGCAGTTTGCGGAGTCCCCTTGACAAGTCATTATCCGGATGAACCCTCTACAGGTTGCGGTATAACATCAACGACGGCCCCAAGACTGATAACCTGAGGTGGGCACCCACCACTGCCCTGAAGGTTGCTTGTGATCAAAGCAGACAACCGTAGCACTCACCCATGCCAGCGGTGTGTCTGGAGTGTATTTTCTGGGCTTTGACAGACCACCTTTTGTTTCGTAGGGGCGTTGCTGGCTTGTGATGGGATGTGAACCTGCAGTTTGTAGTCTTCTGTCTGCTGTGGGTGAGGGTATCGGATTCAATAAAGGAAAAAGGGGAATACCAAACCATATCTGTTTTTGTGCTATGACGATTTCCGTGAAATTACAAGAACCTACGCAAATTAATACAGTAATTATAATAAGACCAATAGAAACTTCATAAGAAACCATTTGAGCAGCAGATCGTAGTGCTCCTAGAAAAGCATATTTGGAATTACTAGACCAACCTGCTGTTATAATACCATAGACACCTAAAGACGAAATAGCAAATATGTAAAGTATACCTACATTTAAATCTGACAGTACCATACCATAATCAAAAGGTATTACTGCCACCGACTTCCCACGGTATTGCCATGGTTCTTTGTTTGTATAAATAAGAACTAACGGTTCCACCGTTATGAGCCAGTTTTTCTATAAGCGCTCACGCGCCTATGGGGCAAAAGGCATGAAGCGTAAAATACGCTGAAGAATCAATACTCGGACGATTGATTCTTACTCTTTCTTTATTTACCCCTAGCCAACGAGACGGACACGACTTATTCAACGCCGTTGAAGATACTCGTAGTGAAGAACTCGCTGCGAAGACTCAAGCTCGTCGTGAAAGGGGATCACTGGGAATAGCCAGCCCTTGGTTGAACCCCGACCGTGTCTCTGATACGCAGCTGAACGGAATACTCGTGAACGTGACTGTCGCTGATGCTCAATGCAATCGTGGCTAAGGTGGATAACGACTGTGTCATCGGTTGGGGGACTCTGCAGACTCTAGAGGGTTCAGCCTCCTGATGAGTCGGTGAAACTCCGAGGAAGCAGTCTGTCACAGCCTCCGGTTTCTTGTCCTTTTCTCCCTTTCTGCCTAATAAGGTTCACCGGACCGTTCTCACTCACTATCGATTTACATGTATATGTAGGCTTCGTCTGTTTTTCCTTTGATCTCTTCAGTTCAGCATTCTCATTACGACCGGTTTGCATATAATACCGTTTCCCCCCCCTCCTTTCTCATTAATTTTAAATCTCTAAAGTTCCACCTTTCCTCTGAAAGATTGGTACGGCCATTCCGTTTCAACCTGTCTACACCTGAAGCTGTGAAAGTCTGTTGACAGCAGGCACTGTTTTTATCCAATTGAACACGGGCAACCCTTCCCCCCCCGGGGGAAACAGTGAACCAGTTGGCCTTCCTTTTCCAGCCCCAATCATCACCACCGCCAGCACGGAGAAATGTACGATGGAGATGATGAACGGTGAGTACAGGTGTTTATTAAGGAAGTTGGGCGTCATGATGGCAGGAGGAAATCCACAAATGCTATCTTACTTAATTTTCTTCGTTTTCTTCAGTTCCTCTTCTCTTCCAGGAAGTGAAGGGGAGATGACGAGTTACTTCTATGGGAGCGGCTTTAATTTACGGTCCACGAGGAAATTGCTTTCCTGGCAAATATTTAGTTTTGAGTAAGAATCCTGTTGAGTATGTGCGTGTATTCACGTGCCAGTGCATCTGTGTGTTTGTGTGCAAATGTGCATGTGTGTGTGTGTGTGTGTGTGTGTGTGTGAGAGAGAGAGAGAGAGAGAGAGAGAGAGAGAGAGAGAGAGAGAGAGAGAGAGAGAGAGANGAGAGAGAGAGAGAGAGAGAGAGAGAGAGAGAGAGAGAGAGAGAGAGAGAGAGAGAGAGAGAGAGAGAGAGAGAGAGAGAGCCGCTCGAGGTCCAACGTCCTATGTGGTCGTGGAGTCTGACGAAGCGGTCTGTCAGACGGTCATGGTGGAATCTGTCAGAACGGTTATCCCTTGTGGTCTGATCTTTAGACCCTCAATTGCGTAGCCATATCCTTCTGCAGCCTTGATCTCTATTTAGAAGAAGCTCGATGGAGCCATCACTTCGATTGTTTTAATGCGGATAGGAGCGTATCGTTGTTTTGCTATTGCATATGCTCACGATATATGCAGGGCCTGCTCGCCTTCACTCTCTCCGCCTTCGTCTCTCTCTCTCTCTCTTTCTGGCCGAAGCTCGATGGAGCCATCATTTCGCTTGTTTTAATGCGGCTAGGAGCGTATCATTGTTTTGCTATCGCATATGCTCACGATATATGCATGGCCTGCTCGCCTTCACTCTCTCCCCCTTCGTCTCTCTCTCTCTCTCTCTTTCTGTCTCTCGGCCTTGCCGCATCACTCACCAAATGTGTAAAATGAGAATGAATCTTGCGCTAGAACATGCTAAAATGCATAGCCATAATTTTTGTCTTTTGTGCATTTGGTGAGTGGTGTGGCGAGGCCCTCTCCCTTTTTCACTTGCTCGCTTCCTGTCCTCGGTTTCACTGGTCTATGTGATCACATGATTCTGATTCTTCCCACCGGCGGAACTTGCCAGCATCCCTCTCTCATTGCTACAACTGTACCAGAGAATTGCGGCTCCAGAGGGGAGCCCATTTGACAGGCTGAATACAGGCACAAGAGCACTCCTTCTGCCCCGCGCCCCTCCACAATTCTGTGCGGATTTATCTGTTTGTTTCGTCAGGTCGTAAGAGACTACTCCATCGGATTCTCACCGTTCTACTGGTCGGGAGGTCGTCCCCTCCGCAGGCCGGTGGGCCACTTCCTGGTGCTTGATTCATAGGGTCTGGGTACATCACGCTCCACTCTCCAAGAACGGAGAGCTGTCTGACTCTCCAAATTCGCCTTTTTAGCTCCGCCGCTGCACTTTTTTTTTTTTTTTTTTTTGAACCAAAATCTATTAATCAGGGCAAATGATGCCGGGGACCTCACAATTCAACCCCGAGTTATCCTGGCAGCATCAGCCAGTTTAGCTTACGAGCGAAGAACTCGCTTAACACTGATCACGGAGAAGGCTAGTCTAGGCACAGAAGTACGGACACTGGGCGGCTGTCCTGAAACCTCTCCCAAAAAAGGATGCCACAGGCCAACAAAGCTTAACAAATGGAAAAGGAAGAGAAAGCCAAGCAAAGAAAGGAAAAACACAATCTGTCCTATCTATCCCAGTAATAGAACCCCCGAGAAAAACTAGACCAAACCAACAAAACCACCCACCGCTACATTTCCACACTCCTACTCTCCAATTCCTTAGTGCACTAGCAGACACCGTGACAGCAGAAGAAGACATGGAGTCATCACCATTTTGTCCGCCCCCAACTCCAGGCACACTCTCCAAACTCGGGGTCCTACCATGAGTTGCTCAAAGGTCTCTCCTGCTCTCCAATTCCTGAGTGCACTAGCAGACACCGCGACAGCAGAAGAAGACATGGCATCATCACCATTTTGTCCACCCAGACTCCAGGCACACTCCCGTGAGTTGCTCAAA